CTAAACTGTAAGGGATGAGGAAGGGACACACTTTACCTCCATACCTCAGTGCTGGCCAGCAGACCCAGAGCAGGAGGAGGCATGTGAGCATCCTGCTGGGTAGGGAGGGGACTGTGCTCTTCCTTTTGAGAAAAACAGACATGCTTTCTCCACCTGGAGGAGAGCACTGGTGTAAATCATGTCATCCATCCCTCCTCCTGGGAGCAATTCCACAGCTGAAACTCTTCCATTCATCCGTGTTCTCCCGTGGCTGCAGACAGAGCAGGGTGGATTTGGGTTCCTTCCAACCCAAGCAGCCCATGCCCTTGTCCCAGCCAGGCTGCAGCGCCTGTGATGGTGATGGGGGAGAGCGAGTGCTAAAGACAGCAAGCCAGGTTTGTTAGGTGCTGGCAGCTCTTTGGGGCATGTGGTAACCTGTGCATGGTGCAGTATGCAGGACATGCTTAAACAGTACAAACCCCGTGGTCTGGTGGGGAATGAATGAGTGCCCCAGGTACAAACAGCAACATGCAGCATGGAGAGCTGCTCATCTGGCTGGATTTGCTCAGAATCCATAAGAAGGTAAAAAAATCTACTTTTTTTTTGCCCTAAAAAGTGAAGTCTGTGGGAGAGGAGGCCTGGATTTTTGCTTATTTATTTATTTATTACTAACTGTGACCAACACTTCATGAGGCATTAGCAAGCCTTTTAATTTCTTTACCAGGTTTCCTTCCTCTGCAGTGTGCATCACAATCTTTATCTGTCTCAGCAGCTGAGAACAAGTTTTTTAGGACACAGACTTCTTCCCGTGTTTAGGAATAGCTGTGTCACAATTAGGATCTCTAGGTACTGCCCAAATTCCCACTATAACATCACCAAATTATATTTCAATAAATGACACGTCATGGATATTAAATGCTCAGTTCAGTTTCAGTGCAAAGTAAAAAGCTGAAATGATGGTAACTTAAACTGGCAATAAAATAGCCAGCATTACGCTTGTAAATACTTAATTTGCAAATGGTTAGAGAATTAGGCACCTGCTATAAATCCTTATCGTGGGCTCTGCACCCCGTTGGTAATCGGTGAGCTATATCTCACTTCATTATGCATGAATGTGTAATTTTCCAAAAGCATAAATGTGGCCTCCAAGGGCACACACATTAATAGCATTCGAATGAACCAATTTGTTTCCTACCCAACGTGTTTATCTTCCAGCTCTTCGCTCTGAGTGCCAGTGGAAAGGTTAATGGCTCGCAGTTCTCTGTCAAATGATGCACTGATTTAACCTCTATGGTGTCTGGATCTTTCATTGTCTTTGGCCTTTAGCATCCTGAAAGTTAACAGCTGCATCCTGCATGCTAGTTCAAGTGTGAGAGGGTCTTCTTTAAATTATTGCACATGTCCAGGTTTAAATGGGATCCTGTTTCCCTCTTGCCTGTCGTGGCCCTGATTCATTGGGTATACGATGCTTTGGGAGCGCTTGTGCTTGCTTCAGCAAAGTCTTTATGCCATTAGAAACACACAGAGAGCCACTAGAGCAGCTGGGTCTGGTCCCCTGCCAGAAGACGAGCAACTCTTAGTCAAATCCTCTGCAGCATTCCCAAAGTCAATGGGAATGCAGCCTGGATGGCCGTGTAGCCTAATGGTCGGGCAGGACTGCTGGGGAGGGCAGGGTGCTCGTGGTGCTGCCACAACCAATGTGCAGCAGATCCTGTTCAGGTTGTGCTACGGTTTGCAGAGTCGTGTTGTTAACCAGGCTCAGTTTGGGCAAACTGGTGGCAAACTTTGTTTCTAAAAAACAGATCGTATGCACAGATGAGCTTAAGTACAAGTGTACATGTGGCATTTTCAAGGGAACTCAAGTGAATGAGGAGCAGAGTCATGCTGCATGACAGTGCACCTCCTTAGGCACCCAAATTTGAAAACTGCTGTCTAATTAGATATGCTCCAATTATTACTCTTATTTGCTGCTTAACAGCTGTCACTGAAGGCTCAGGACAGCTTTGTGCTGAATGCCACCAGTACACAAAGCAAGAAAAGAAATTACCTGAAGGCCATTCAAATCTCTGCTTGAGACAATGAATAACTGCAATGGGCTGGGAAGTGGGAGGGGATGGAGGAGACCTCAGAAACCTTTGATCAAGTCTCAGAAAAATTCGGCATTGCCTAAGTTTGCACTCAGAGCTATCACAGCAAATAAGTGGCATTAAGTTGGCAGTAATGGAAGGAATATTTATTTCTAAGCTTGTGTAATAATTATCATGGTGAGCTCAATGAGTTTTAAAAGAAATTACACAATTACAGAGGGGGGGAAGAAAAGCCAGAACCCAGCAAAGCAAGCTCTCTTTTCCTCCCCTAACCTTTTCTCACGTTCTTTCCCCGCTGTCCACTTGCTGTGTTAATCTTGAATTTGAATGAAAACTTAAGTGTGTCTAAATGTAGCCTTGCCCCTGCGGAGGGGGTGGATATGTCATCAGGGATCTGTCAGAGTCAATAACATTTCCCCTGCAGCCCCAAGCTGTGCCTCAAGATCTAACATTTCTGTCTGAATTATCAGCTAATGCTCTGACAAATTGCCTGTGATTTTCTTTTTTTCTCCCTGAGTGGATGTGCCTGGTCTGCAGATTAGGTAAACACTGCCTGGCCCCGGTGTGCAGCCATGGATGATGACTTCCAGCCCAACATCTCTGCTCGGCTGCAAGCAGAGGAGTCGGGGCGCTGCTGGGCTGCCACTGCTGGGCTGCCACTGCTGGGCTGCCACCGGGGCCCGGCGTGGGTAAGGCTGTGAGCAGATGTGCAGGAGATGCAGCAAGAAGGTTGGAGGTGGAGGCTGAGGCTGTGACAGAGCAGCAGGGCTGCAGATGGGGCTGGGGAAGCTAAGCTGGATGGGAACAGCAGCTGTTTTGCTAAGCAGGGAGAGGGCTCTTGGTTTTTCTTGTTGTAGAAAGAAGTGGCTGTTTGTGGCTTGGTTCCCTCTGTCAGAAATCTAAATGTGGCACAAAGCTACCAAGTGGTTTGGGACTTGTAAGATCAAGTCATCTCCTGCGCAGGCCTGTGTGGGTTTCTCTCATTTCTCTGGCCTTTGCTGGATTCCTCTGTCTGTATGCACATCCTTCAATTTGATAGGATGCAGATACTGACCTCCCTGAGGGTCACTGTGCAGATTCCAGCCTTTTACAGCACTGTGGAGTAGCAAAGGCGATTGTGGCATTTCACACTGCCTTCTCTAGGGGAGAGTCCGAAGGAAAATAAAACCCCTGGGAAGATGGGAGCTGTGGGACCCATGAACCAGGACAGCAAGGTGCTTGATGGATGGGCAGGGGCTCCAACCAGAGGTGCTCACCTATGGTTCTGGGAACCCAAGTGGCCAACAGCAGAGAGATTTCTGCTCTTTCTCAGGCACTGGTACAAACACACACAGCAGCCAGTAATAGAAACGCAGCCCTGAGTTCCTTCTGAGCAGTCTCAGGCAAGGCACACTCCTTCATTATGTGCACCATAGAGATTTAAGGAGGGAGGAATAGAAAAGGAAGGAGAGAAAAACTACTTGAAGTAATTGTTAGTTATGAGTAATTAAAACAATGATTATTGTTGTAAATATTTGTAAATTGATATGTGATATACATAAATAAAATTATTAAAATGGAAATTAAGAGCAGAAATTACCATGTCTTATTAAAAAATAGCTTTTCATCTGAAATTCCTAATGGGCTGTGTTATACTCAAACCGCCCAGCAGTAAATCCCTTTTGTTTCCATGTAGCACTGTGTGCATAGAGGGCACGTGGATAAAATCTTTAAAGTCTTGGAAGATAGATTGCATTTTCGATAGACTGGAGGCTCGGTAGTTATTAGACCCAGCAAAGGCCACCTGAATGGATGGAGAGAAATGAATGGGTTGTTCATTTCAAGAGCCCCTGTGTGTGGCCGAGATCTGACTACGTGCAGGGTAGTGCATGGCTTGGGCTTGTGACTCCTACCTGCATAGGGCAGCTGGGTCCCCTTGAAGCCCATATGGGGAACCTCATCCCGAGCTCTTTTTGATTGAGTGGTGCAGTGGATGAAAACTGCTGGGCTAAGGACTGGGGCAGCGGGTGGCTGCCTGTGCTGCTGGGCAGTGCTCTTCTTGGTCTTGGCTTTGGTGCAACACGTAGGTAGAAAAGCAATAAAGAATTTGTCAAGTGCAATACATTAAGGCTATTTCTCTTGCCATTAAAGTTTCATGTAGAAGTTTCACAGACAGGTCCCAATCCTATTTATAGGTATCCTTCTTGCTTTCAAGAATATTATTAAACTGGTTTGTTATAGAAAGCTGCTCTGAAAATGAGCCAACCTGGTAAATAAAACATGCTCGCCTTTACCAGCATGCTTTTATCCACGGAACAATATACTGAAGAATATTTTCCCCATACATTTTTGTCAGCACATTATTGCACATGCCTGTTTAAGCAGTAAAGCAGTTTGAATGCATCTTACAGCAGTTTCCTATTGATTGGAGGTGGGAATCCCAGAAGCTGCAAGCAGACAGCGCTGAGTAAATCCTGACCCCAGGGGCTGGGGGGGCCCACAGAGGAGAGGGGAGGTCATTCCCTATGTGTTGCTTGGCTGCTTGGGGTCTTGTGCCTTAGAGCTTGTGGTTGGCCTTTGAGGTGATGGAGGATACTATAGGATTCAACCAGAAAAAGAAAAAAAAGAAAAAAAAAAAAGATTTTAAATGCTTGCTAATTATTTTGTTAATCAGGGTTTTCTGCTGCACATTATTAACAATGCAAATTAAAGAAGGAGTCTGTGGTGCCAGAAAACATCTGCTTACCAGAAATGAGGCACTAAACAAAACGTCCCATGTGCTGTGCTCCCATTGCTGTGCCTGCAGGAGTGCAGGCATGGCAGGTCAGTGCCCTGTGCTGCACTTTGCTGCCTTGTGCCCTGCACAGCCCTACTCACTGCTGATGCACTCTGCTTTTATAGTTATGTATTTTAACCTGGAATTTATTTTTTTGTTCGTTTGTTTTTTGTTTGTAGGTCATCCTGAAAAGCAGTATCTTCACCTGAAAAAGAGCACACAAGGCTGCAGAGGAAGCCCTCCATCTGCTGCTGGCTGAGGTACTTTGCCTGTTATCCAATGCAGTGCTCTTAACCTCTGTGCTGAGCTCCACTTTCAGCCCACATTTGTGTACCTAAGTTTCTTCTCCCAACGTCTGCTTTGCTTTTGTTTTTGGCTATGAGCATTTAGATTTCAAAACTGAATCAGCTGTGCCCTCAAACCACCTCTTTACCCTTCAGATCCCTGCTTCTCTGCTGCCTGGGGTGGGGCGGCTCAGGGCACAGCCTTTGGCAGCTGATGTGAAATGCATTGAAGGTGTCACTGCGATGGATTGTTAGAAAAGCTGGGGTCACTTCTCCTCCACATTAGTGCAGTTAGTTTAAGGACTTTTTTATTTGCAAATGAAACAAGGCCATAATCATGTATGCTTAGGCTCCTCATCAGACATACCCTGCACCTGGTTGAGGTTTTGCTGAGATATAAGCTGTGTGGAGCACCTCATTGCTCTTTCCAGCAAGAGTAGCAAATCCCTGCTCAGGGAATTCCTCCAACTGTGAGTACTTGTGACCTTTACTCTCTTCTTCTGATATTATTTTCCACAAATATGCATGCAAGTGTATCTTTAGACAACTCCACAGCCTATAGCAGGCAGTCTTTTAACAACTCACACAGCTCTTTATACCAGAAAAGCATTTTTGATAGTTTTGAAGTAAGGAACCAGGAGGAGATATAGATGCTTTTCTATTTTCATAATATGCATTTAGCAGCTCTCTCTAAGATGTTTGAGAACCAAATGCTTTCTATGTTTACTTATTAAGCTCTTCTCCTGCCTGTTGAGGTGTGGGTATCCTCCTGCTCGCCAGATTCTGGAAGCCTGATAGGCTGTGTTGGCTCTGGAGTTCCAGAAAGGGAACCTACTGCAGTAGATAACATTTTATCTTCCAAAGGAGGGCATAAGTGGCATTACTGCAGGGCCTGCTGCAACATGGGCTGTTACATAGCATTGGTGCTTTGTTTTTCCTGCTTGTCAGTGAGTGCTTCAGTTGCAGCTCTTCAAATCACTTTAAGTGAAAAGCTTTATTTTGAAATTAATACGTCTCAGTTCACACCCAAGAAATGTGGAGACTTAATGACATTTTTACATTAGGACTTCTCAATGCTCTCATAAAAGAAATTCCCAATATTTTAAGTGCTCTGCAACCAGAGAGGGCTGTCCTTTACTAAGAACAGTGGAGTGAAAGCACCCACCTGCTGCAGATTAGTTTGAGTACTGTTTGTGTAGCTCAGCCTGGGTTAATCACATCGGAGCTCAGCTGGAGAAGTAGCCATGAATTCTGTTGCCAGCTAACTGCACAGGGCTGCACCTGTTTTTCAAAGGCAAGGGAGAAAGCTGCTCTGAGTGACTCGGTTACAAGTCAGGCAAGTTATTTTCAGCGCTGCTCGTAAAGAACAAAGATAAGAACTAGAGAAAATGAAATCAACAGGGAAGGGAAGGCAATCTCACGTTAGCTGAAGGTTTGGCCACACTGCTATGTTTCAGCAGCAGGTATGTCTGCTTGTGTTCATGAAATGGCATGAAATGCACCTTTCAAGGTAACCCCGGAGCTGGAGAAGAAGCAAGCTGGCAGGGAGGAGGAGGGGTGATGTTCAGCTCCCTGCCATGGATGCTCATTGCTGCCTTCCTGGGGCTGGGGAAGCAGCTGTGTTCCTTCGCAGAGCTTTGGTGAATTAATTTTTCTGTGTAAGAATGGCATTTTCTCATTAGAAAAAAGTATGTGATGTGTTCCAGTCTGTACTGTGAAAGTCTGAATGAGGTAACAATCTGGCTCACCTGGAAGCATTTCTGGTTTTACAACCTTTTACAGCCCCCTGTGCTGGAAGGGACAAAGCAAGGATAAAGGGCAGCTTGTTGTGCTCTGAAACAGCTCCATTTCTGTGCTGAGTGCACCGCTCTGTGCGGATGGAGCAAAGTTACAGCCATTAGAGTTATAAAAAGAGATACGACAGCCTCTAATCTAAATCTAAATCAGATCTTGAAAGATCAATCAGTGATTGTTCCTATCATCAGCAGTAACTTCATCTCACTGAGCTCTTTGATGCCGGAGAAAAGTCTGAGATAAGAACCAGAGATCTGAATTCAAATGGGGAATCAAGAAGGCATTTCTTCCGCTTGATTTTTCCTCTCAATCTGAGCTATAGTGTGTGTTTATTAGGAACTTGTTTCTGACTTCCTCGGTAGAAATTCACGATTCCCATTGTCTGCATGTGCTGCCTGTGCTTCGTGCTAGAAATTACTTTGTACGGTTTACTGATCGGGCATTTTTTAGCTGAAAAGATTGAAACAGAAGCAAACAAACAGCTGTGTTTAGATCTGACTGACCACTAAAAAAAAGCTCCTTGCTGCTCTGCCCTGAGCACGTGCTGCAGTGCCAGCCCCAGGTTTGCTCTGTGCGGAGCCGTGCAGCTCAGCGCCCATCCCTGAGCTGAGCAGTGCTGCCCCAGTCCTTGGGGGCCCTACAGGAGGAAAAGCAAATGTATAACCACACACAGCAAAGTTACTGAGTGCCTCTGCTGTTGTTTATACGTTTAGATGCTATGATTAAATTACATACATAATGCATAGTGTTTGTAATACATTATTAATAATAATAATACCGTCTTGTATTATTCGGCTGGAAGAAGCCTGCTCCGAGTGATGGTTCATTGGCCTATTCACACACAATTTTCATACATCTCTAAAGATTACCATTTTAACAGCTTTCTGTATGGATACTGCCAGGCAGTTACATTTAACAGTGCATAAATCTAATTCCCTCTGCACTCAATTTTCTCAGGCAGCAGAATCAATTTGAATCTGTCAGGATTTTATTCTAAAGTCTATTAATGACTCCTGCCTTTTTCTGTATTTTTTTTTTCCCCTCTCTGTCTCTCTCTTAACAATCTCACTCTTTCATGAATTCATTTGGCTGCAGAAAGAGATGCCCCACTGATACAAACACTCTTTTATCTCTTTACAACGGAAACCTAATTAGGTGTGAAGGAGACACAAGGAAGGTCACAATTAGCCCTCCAGCAATAAAGGTTAACGGTTGTGAAATCCTATAATAATACTGTTGAACTTTGTTATTATCAATAATGATGGCCTTTGACAAGGTCAAGCTCATTACTCTTCGCCCACACCTCCCCTTGCCCTGCATCCCCACACGTGGTGCTCCCAGCGCATCTCCTCCAGAGCTTCCATCTGCTGGGCAGGTTTTGCCTTGGGCTGGTGGAGCAGGATTGCTCACCATGCCTTTTAATTATTGGTTTAAAAAAAAAACCATGTGTATTTTCTTTCCCATGCTTGAGTGAAGTGATTCTGCTCAATTAAGTATTTAAATGGAGGTGGTAGCAAGAAAGTAATAGGTGTTGCATCCTGGTAGTACAGCATTTCAGAATGGAATGGAAACAATTATGTGCCTTGCCATTACAAGCCAATGGATCTCTGACACCTGCAGAAGGCTTCTGGGGAGTAACGCCACAGTGAGCATCATTTGTTCTATCTGCATCCACTCTCACATCTCTGCAATGAGATGGATTGTGAACTAAACATTTCAAATGGCATTTTAATGCTGGTTTTATGCCTGCTGAGGAGTGCTGTGGAACAACTTGAATCTGTCAGATGTTAACTTCCCTGCTGCTTTTCTGTAGGTCTGCTGAAGGAGCAGGGCCATGCCTGTGACTGAGGAACCTCTTTCGTAGTTGTGTTTCCTTGCATCTGGCAGTGTAGTTCCACAGCTGTCGATACCAGATTTGTGCCCTGGTCATCTTGTCCTGGCCAGCTGTGGCCCTGTGATTTCATTTGCAGTTCAAGAAGTGCAGCACGTGACAGGGAATCAATGCCAACTCAGCACTTTCTTGCAGTGTCAGTTTGGGCAGTCCCTGATGTGATGAGAAGTGTCCCTGCACAAAGCACAGTGCATTGGACCCTCTGACAGCAGCTTTGCTGGCATCTGGCATGAGGTACTTGGAATCCAAAGCTGGAATGTGCTGCTTGCTTCTGTATGTTTGCTTGGCTTTGTGGCTGTGCATTGGGTCAAGAATGTCATTTAACCTTTATTTTTCACCTTAGCTGGGATTTGGACAAACAGTGGTGCATAATTTGGGGAAGTCCTGTCCTGGGCTGTATCCAGAGTCTGGAGAGAGAGAGAGGGGAGAACTCAGATCTTACGTGGGCTGAGCTGTGCCTGGAAGCTGCCCCTCTCCTTCCCTGTCCCTGAGGGAGCTGTGGGTGACCAGATGACCACACTTCTCATTCAGACCCCTCAGAATACATAGGAGTGCTTGCCCAGTGTCAAGCCTTTATTACAGAAGTTGAAGCCACAAAACGTGAAGTAAAGGCAGAGGAGCAGAAATACCAAGGACTTGGTGTACATCTATGTGTAAGAAGCTGCAGATAGAGATGTTCAGTTCTGTCACTGCTATCACTCCTCAGGGCAGATTCTTGTCTGCTCAAGTGAGACAGCATTGTATGACAGTAGGATACAATGGCAGCAGTTGCTGCCTCCTGCTAAGTCTGCAGATAATGCTGCACTTGGACCTTGACTGGCATTAAGCCATATCCCATTTAGTATTTCAAAATATTTGTGATATAGGCTGTCTGACCAGCTTCTGGTAAAAAAAATGAATAAAACAGGACGTTCTTGGAATTATTTATGCCTTTTAGAGAGGACTGGGTGCATGCAGAGGCAGCTGTAGAGCTTCAGAAGCTCGTGTGCTGCCTGCAAACAGCAGGGTTAGTGCACTGCTTGGCAACAAAACCCTGCTGCAAGTGGTTCTTAATTCATAGTTCAAGGCTGAAGTTCAAACTGTGTTGTCAGAGAGCAGACATGGATCACTGGGCACTATAAGGATGGTCCTCCCATCCCTTTGCTTTATTGACTCCCTGCTTCTGTGTGCCCCCAGCACTGAGCCTGGAGCTGCTGGTGGTGTTGGTGCTGGTCTGCAGCATCTGGGTCTGGCTGTTAGGTCTGTACAATTGGATGGGAATAGGTCAATGCCAAGAAAGTGGGGAGAAGGTAATAGAGATGGATGCCAACAACTGGCCTATTATTAAATATAAAAGAAGGAATAAATAGTTTACCAGGAAAATAAAAATTTACAATTGAGTGCAGTGTTTGAAATGATGTTAGTCACGTGGCTTGTGTTTTGTTAGCACACCTTAGAAAAGGTTGGTGATGAGATCCCTGGTACTTCTAACATCCAGTTCTGAGAATGGCAGAATATGGCATCCCAGATGTCGAGGGTGAAGCCATCTTACAATGGGCATTAAGTGATGAGAATCCCCATCATACTGCTGGTCAGAGATCCCTGCCAGGAGCAGCACTCTGCTGCACCCCTCCTTCTGCCACAGTACACAATATGCAAAAACTTAGAGAAAGGCCTTGTTCACAGCACAACTGTGAACATCATCCGTTAAGCAATCTGGCTGTATGAAGAAAATGAAGCCATTCATGCTCCCAGTTGTCCTCACAGCAGTCGCACAGCATTTATCTCACTAATGTTTTGGTATGGCCATTCCCATGCAGTTGGTAGGAACTTTTATTTGTATCATGCAACAGATTTTTTCTTTTTTTAATAAAGCCAAGGACGTGTCCTTGTACTTCAGTGAGAAGGTTATCAAATGATTGACATTAAATGCCAATTTTATCAAAATATTGATTGAAAAAGTTCTTATGCTTCCATTGTTTCGTATAGATATATCTAATCTCAGCCTTATCCAGGCAGAGCAATATATTGCTTGCCAGACTAGAAAATGATATATTAGCCATCTGGGCAATGGGCCCAACCCTGGGCAAGATTAGTGCTTCAATTAGCTGTTGATAGCTTTCCATTAGAATTCTGGTTTCAAAGAGCACTAAACAAGAATGTTGTGCTTTGATTTTCAGATTTAATTACTTCCATCAGGGCTATAAATGAACTCATTAGTCTTAGTGGCTCTAAAACCTAGAGACAATAGAATGTTATTGCTATTGTTCTTATGGTTTGTGCAAACATTACTTTCAAAATGCCATTAGCAATGGCTATCAGCCTTTCCTCTCCTAATGCAGCCGGCTGCTGACCCTGTGCTGCAGCTCTGGGCTGAACGTGAGCGTGGCTGTGCTGTGCTGTGCTGTGGGATGCAGTGCCTGCTGGTGCACAGCAGCTGCTGCTGAGGGGGTCATTGCAGGCAGGGAAAGTAACTGAGGATAGGATTAAACCTACACATTGCAAGTGCTTGGCTTCTGTTCAAAGTGTGTGCGCTGTCTTTCTCTTTTTCCTCTCCGTTTCCTCTTTTTGTTTGTTTGTTTTAATGTTTGCCACAGCTTCTGAGGATTCTTGAGGCTTTGTGGGTTTTTCAGTCCGCTGCATTATTGTTCCGTGACACTTCTTCACCTAATTTTGCAAAAGAATGTTTCAATTTATTTTATAATCTTTGCCTTTTCCCCTTGACCCCAGCGGGGTGTTTCACAAGCAGTAAATTCTCCTTTGAATGTGATCCTTGCCCCCTTCCTCCTAAAACAGAAGGAAACAGAGGGATGCTGGCAGTCATTGCACACCCGCAGGATTGGGACCCCCAGCAAAGAAACCTTTTGAACTGCTTCTCAGGTCACTGAGCAGCACCAGAGGGCCCAAAGCTCTTCCAAACTAAATAGTGTTACAATTCTGGGAAAGATGAACAAGCCCCATGGCAGGGAAGGGGTGAGGCAGCACTGCTCACACAGAATTACCAGTCAGCCCTGTCCTGGGACTGCTATTTCTAGGAATGATCAAAACTTGCTATTAGGTGAGCTATATATCATGCTTAAGACCTTAAACCTTGCAAAGCTTTCTTTCATCCAAGGTGTATTTCCCTTGGTAAAAATCCCTTTGTTTATCTGTTTTTTCTCTTCTGCTGAGGAAGGATGTCATGTGTAAGTAAAGAATATGATGCTCTGCACTGCTGACATTCATTAAATTAAAGCTGTAATCAGTACAGTATGTCTTGACCATAATATTAATATGGCTAAAACATTAAATGCTGTCAAGTTCAAAGCCTAACACCTGTTTTGTATTAGCATCTGGATAGTTATTTCATTTTTCATTCTAATAGAATATTCTTTGATGAAATCCATAACTCAGTTGTAATTTTCAGCTCCTAACCCTTCGTAAATCCCAGAATATGATTCAAAAAGCCTACTCATAGATCTTAGATAAGTTTCTCCTAAATTCTGGCAGACTGTTGTGATAATGTTGGGAGTGTAAGAAAGTGAATGCAAAGGCTGAATCCTTTGGTATCAGTCGGATCAGGATTTTATTTGTGACTTTGGCAAGCAAGTCCCCTCCTGCTCAGAGCAAGGTGACTCCATCCTTTGGAGGTATGTTGGTCACACACCTCTGTCCCCTTAACTCCATCCTTTTTCACTCTGCCCTTTTGCTGGGAGTCTTCAGTATGAACTCCCAGCTTTCATAGGCTTAGGGTGAAATGAATGGAAGTGGAAAGCCTGTGGAGAGAATGGGGGTGGTTGCTGCCTCAGTCTGCGTGTGCTGGCAGTGGATGTGAGCTAGCCCAGCCAGAAGGGAAGAGAATATCCCTGCCTGTTCTGGTACAGCACAAAGCCCACAGTGCAGTCACTGGGGATCTCAATGTATTCCTGGGTGATTCTTTTCTTTCTAAGCGCTTTCCATGCCTGTCTCAGTAGTTCTGGAGCCATTCTCAAGTGTTTAAAAATAGCATGATGTCTTTCACTCCTCCTCTCTCTCCCTCTCTTCTTGCATTTCCCATCTGTAGGGGAATGGTCTGATGGATGTGTTTGTGTTCCCAGTTCTGTTATGCTGAGGAGATGGGAAGAATGGGAGAGTGGAGCCTTCCTCTGTGGTCACTGTTTTGTCTAGCAAGCTTTCTGTTCCCCAGGGTCAGCTCCTGTAAAAGCTAAACTACTTCTATTTTTAACTATACGGACTATAGAAAGTCGGGCAGACTATATACAATTGTCAGACTTTCTGCCAGTAGACAAAAGCAAGATCACTCTGTTAGCTTCTGTCGAATATTTCTGACGTGGTCCTGTTCTGCTTCTCCTCTCCTGGTGTGCAGACCCAGCTGTGCTCCTGCAGGCAGACCTGCGAGGCCCCAACCCCATGCAGGCGTACCTGGGTGGTGTGTGCAACGCAGAGTGGAGATCTGCTGCATGTGAGCCAGCAGGGACTTGGCATTCTCATCGGCCTAAACCTGATGATTTCGTGCAGCTGGTTGGTACTCACAGTGGTTCACATGTGGTATATGCCAGGTAGAGAGGAGATGCTGTGCTGCAAACTCAGTGATCCTACTGAAGGTGGGTGAAGACCACGAAGACCAAGCAAACAGCTCAGTGCTAAGGCTACCTTAACTTTACCTATGGCGACAGGATGGGTTTCTCTCCCATCACTTTGTGCAGCTGGACTGCTTATCGTGGCCTTGAAAGATGATGCATGTTTAGCCAAGTGAATGAATTGAACGAGCTCCTCTGTAAAACTCATCAAATACTCGTAGAGCATCAGCCCTAGGTTTGGATGGTACTATCTTAAGAATTCAAAAATAAATTAGAAAGCACCCAAAGTCTAGTGGGTTGTCACATTTGATATACAGATTGTCCAAACACTGCTTGCATTCAGTGTGTCGCAAATCATGTGGGACTGAGAAACGGATGACAGATGTTGGAAATGGGAGACTTTCTGCAGCAGTCTGCTGCCTGCAACCACTCTGCTGCTGCTCCTGAGAGCACGGCGGTACCTCAGCTCCTCCTGGTGCTGCAGCTCTGGGACAGCTCTGGTGAAATCACTCGAGCTCCTGTTTCATAACGACAATACAGCAGTGGTTTATTTGAAGGCTGAGCCAGCTTTGTATCAAAGCCAAATATGTCTGGCTTGGCACCATGAGCTAATGTTGGAGCCAAGCAGCTGGAGCAGACTGTACGTGTATTTAAAAGAACAAAACCAGAGAGACTCTTAAGTTATCTCCTGTTTGAGGTCAATCAGAGTGCCAGAAGGCAGTGCCAGATTTTTGCATCAGGCTTTCTCTGGCTTTATACCTGGACACTTACAGAGCCAAGCCCCAGGCCAAGGCTCAGTTCTCCTCTGCTTTCTCACCTCTTCTTCTGGCTTTCTTCTTGCAGTTTAACTGCAGGGGTTAAACCCCTCTGTCACCTCTATTCTCTTTGGGTCCAGGTCAAGCTCTTGGAGTGCACACCTTCACAAGGGAAGCTCTCTAAGGTTTTTTTTTTCCACGGACTTGCCTTAAAGCTGTGCGTATCTGAAAACTGAAGGGGTGACTTCTGTTGCACAGAGGTTCACCACTGAGTCTGGCCTCACGTTTTCAGTCGTATTCTGGTGAGCCAAGGGTCTGCTGCTAGTCTGTTGGCTCCACTGAATGTTGGCTTATGGGGTAATGACCAATTATTAAGGCTGTGGCTGTGCTAGATGAATGCGGTTGAGCTCATGGCTGTCAGTTGCTGGCTGTCTTCTGCATCCAGCATGTGGAGAAACGTCCTGTATTGGCCATTATGCACTTGAAGAGCAGAGAGGGCTCTGGTGTGAATGCTCACAGGTGGAACAGTTTGCAGATATCTGCTCAAGCACTTAAATTTGAGTGCCTCTGGAAAGGTTAGGTTTCATTCAGTTTGTGATTCA